GTTGGGGACCCCCGCCCTCCTCCCCGCCTCTCGCCCAGGCCGCGCGGGACTACGCGGGGCTGGAGCGCTTCTGGCAGCGGTTCAACAAGGCGAAGCTGGAGGAGCAGGCGCTGGAGCAGGAGCGGGCGGCCCTGAGCCAGAGGAACCGGCGCCTGCGGGAGCTGCTCCGGCAGTACCTGGCGGGGATCTCTGTCGGCCAGGAGGTGCTCGGCGAACCCAACCCGCTCCTCGCCGTCGAGCGCAAGAGCTGCGTCCCCAAGGACTTGCCCCACGCTGGGGGCGGCCATGCACAAGGTCATCGGGGCGCCGCACACCCCGACAGCCTCTCGGGAGGGGACGCCCACCCGGATCCCATCCCCAGTGCTGCCGGCACCGGCTGAGTATCGCTCACCCTGCGGATCGAGGCACCCAGCCTGGCTCTCGGGGACACCGCAGAGACCGCGACTGCCCGGAGGGGCCATAAAAGAGCTAAACTGTGCCCAAAAAAAGGGCTCCAGGGTCTTATTTCTGGTCAGACTGAGCTTCGTCAGGGCGGGTGGGGGTCTGTCGCCTGCCGCTCACGTCTGATGCATCGGCTGCACCAAATCCCCGCTGCCGGAGTGGGCAGGGAGCTCGGGGGGGTGCAGAGCCCCTTCCCGCAGCCCTGTCCCCCCCGCTGCCCCCGCAGTCGGATGGAGCAGCCGCGGATGCCGAGGGAAAAGCTTTATTTCTTTTTGGCTTTGTTCCTCTTCTCCTCCTTCAGCTTCTTCTTGGAGAGCTTGGGGCTGCTGGCCTTGCGGTAGAGGTGGTACCCGATGAGCCCCAGCAGCGCCGGCACCAGCCCCAGGCAGAGCAGCGGCAGCACCTCGTTCACCACCTTCTGCCAGTAACTGGCCCGGGACAAACCGACCAGCTCCACCTCGAACCGCAGCACCGCGTCGCCTGGGAGGGGGACACAGAGCCTGAGCGGGGGCCGCCGGGGGCTGCCGGGGACCCCACGGGGACCCCGAGGCCTGCGCTCACCTGGGATGGTGGGAGGGGAGCCCCGCTTGCCGTAGGCCAGGTGAGGGGGGAGGCTGGC